AGAGGCCTAGACAAGCGCAGCCACGTGACTTGGTAGAAGAAAAACGCTCACTGCGAGCGCTTCTAGCCTCAAAATGCGCTAGGATCCGCACATGTGGAGGAAGTGCAGCGGGCGCTCTTCATTCTCAAGGGCCGATGACCAATGATGCTCGCAACCCTTCCACGCCCTTGCTGGCTTGGCAAGAGGCCTAGACAAGCGCAGCTACGTGACCTGGTAGAAGAAAAACGCTCAGAACGAGCGCTTCTAGCCTCAGAACGCGCTAGGATCCGCACATGTGGAGGAAATGCAGCGGGCGCTCTTCATTCTCAAGGGTCGATGACCAATGATGCTGGAAACCCTTCCACGCCGTTGCTGGCTTGGCAAGAGGCCTAGACAAGCGCAGCCACGTGACCTGGTGGAAGAAAAACGCTCACTGCGAGCGCTTCTAGCCTCAAAATGCGCTAGGATCTGCACATGTGGAGGAAGTGCAGCGGGCGCTCTTCATTCTCAAGGGCCGATGACCAATGATGCTCGCAACCCTTTCACGCCCTTGCTGGCTTGGAAAGAGGCCTAGACAAGTGCAGCCACGTGACCTGGTAGAAGAACAACGCTCACTGCGAGCGCTTCTAGCCTCAAAATGCGCTAGGATCTGCACATGTGGAGGAAGTGCAGCGGGCGCTCTTCATTCTCAAGGGCCGATGACCAATGATGCTCGCAACCCTTCCACGCCCTTGCTGGCTTGGCAAGAGGCCTAGACAAGCGCAGCCAAGTGACCTGGTAGAAGACAACGCTCTGAACGAGCGCTTCTAGCCTCAAAACGCGCTAGGATCCGCACATGTGCAGGAAGTGCAGCGGGCGCTCTTCATTCTCAAGGGCCGATGACAAATGATGCTCGCAACCCTTCCACGTCCTTGCTGGCTTGGCAAGAGGCCTAGACAAGCGCAGCCATGTGACCTGGTGGAAGAAAAACGCTCACTGCGAGCGCTTCTAGCCTCAAAACTCACTAGGATCTGTACATGTGCAGGAAGTGCAGCGGGCGCTCGTCATTCTCAAGGGCCGATGACCAATGATGCTCGCAACCCTTCCACGCCCTTGCTCGCTTGGCAAGAGGCCTAGACAAGCGCAGCCACGTGACCTGGTAGAAGAAAAACGCTCACTGCGAGCGCTTCTAGCCTCAAAACGCGCTAGGATCCGCACATGTGCAGGAAGTGCAGCGGGCGCTCTTCATTCTCAAGGGCCGATGACCAATGATGCTCGCAACCCTTCCACGCCCTTGCTGGCTTGTCAAGAGGCCTAGACAAGCGCAGCCACGTGACATGGTAGAAGAAAAACGCTCAGAACGAGCGCTTCTAGCCTCAAAACGCGCTAGGATCCGCACTTGTGGAGGAAGTGCAGCGGGCGCTCTTCATTCTCAAGGGTCGATGACCAATGATGCTCGCAACCCTTCCACGCCCTTGCTCAATGCTACTACCACCACAGCATTTCAATGAATGAATCAATATAATTAACTCCGAATGTAGTGTACGGATCGCACTCACTGTAAAGGTTGTAGAGTGCATTGGTGGCGTAGTCCCTAAGCACCCACGCTACAGCAACGGAAGACAGGAACATCCCTCCACATAAGACACTTCGCTGCGACGCGCGACGGGCCGAAGGAGCAGCAGGAGCAGAGGCAGTGACCCAAGGCGGTACCGGCGAAAGCTCAGCAGCAGCCTGTGTAGAATCCAAAGCTCATCGCGCCTCGCCCGCTAACCAATTCTCCTGATGCTGATCGCGGATCGCTGCTGATCTCTGATCGCTTGATGCTAATCGTAGATCGCTGCTGATTTCTTCATACAGATCGCCTCGCTTTGGATTATCGGCTCTCTCATCTACGACGCTCTACCCAGCATAGAGAGCGCTCCAAGAGTCGTCATTGAGATGATTGACGCTAATCACTGCGAGTAGCCACTGCACGTACGCCGAGCTGCATGGGGATGGAGGGAAAGGGATGGTAGACATGATTGTGGTTTGATAATAGCACATTTGATAGTAGACAGCTGGTGTCAGATTATGTTATTTGTCTAGCCTGCAGTGGGGTGCTCATTAGTGAGTACAACCCCTTAGGGTTTCCTATATGTATCCTGCTGCTTGCTAGTTCATCATCATTCCCATTCTCACTTCTCCAATTCTCCTTCGTATACCACAAACCCTAGTCCTAGGGCACAACCTACTACCTCCTAGTGTGGGCCTAGGCTACTAAGCCTAGGCCCCACTCCTATTGTTTCTAACAGCTGGCACTGCGAGTAGCCACTGCACGTACTCCGAGCTGCATGGGTGTGATGCGGCGAGGGATGGTGCGAGAGAGGGTTATAGTTCGTTATTGGCACATTCGAAAGTAGAGATGTGAGCACAGTCGTGCAGGGAAAGGGTCGTGTGTCGGATAATAGCACATTCGGTACTAGTAGTCGTAAAGCGCATCCTAATGCGAGGAATGCAAGAAATGCTTCCAGCTAGCCACATGAATATTTTGCGAATTCTCTCACAAACCACCTGCGACGGAAAGATACGTCGCCGTTAGGTACGTTATGACTGGTACCTGTTTAAGCGCTGCGATGCACACTCGCTCCCCCGGCGCGACGTCGCAGAGAGTCTCCAACCCTCTGGCCAGGCATGCGACGTCAGCGACAAATTGCGACCCGGTTAGCGTCGCACCGCTGTCGTCGTCGACGGTGACGACGCAGTTCGCGCGACTGCTCGAGTGATTGGAGGACGTGACACACGTGCGACCATGGCGGAGACAAATGGTTCGCCATTAGCTTCCAGAAGCTAAGGAGCATACGCTTTGTAATACGTAGTGATGTATTCGGAGGAGGAAGGTAACGGGATATCGAATGTTCCGGTAACGGATGATGCATTTACACTTACGGTGCAACTGACTTGCATTGGCAATACACAGAATGTGATGTGTTTGTGTGAGAATCCTCTATACTACCAATGTGTAATTGTAATGCATAACTCTGGCTAGATATGATGCTGATGATTTACCTCTTCTCTGACGACGCTATATGTGTTATGAAGACTGTGTTAAAAAAAACACAATCGTCTTGAAAACATGTTTGCTCATTATATTTAAAAAAAATGAGCTGCACTCCTCGGTCATTGAGTCATCATGAACACCTGTTGCTGAAAAAATGACTTCAAGAATATATATGTATGTGTGCAAATGTATAGCTGCATCCGGTTCTCTGCTTCGAATTCTTAGGTAACCTCAATGAATACAACACCTGCACCATAATCAGGCTAGTAATTTTGTCGCTTTTTAGCGGGGATATATGCCCCCTTCCCGCCATAATGGTTCACAAGCACACGACACAGTTCAAAACCATGGTCTGACACGAGCCAGCAGGGATGTTGACCGCGGCTCGTGCAATGTCTACTCGTGATTGGTACCATCCACACCATGCCATACCAAAACAAGCAGTCTCATCAACGCCGAGCGAAGAAGCCCCGGATGCTCACAACGACATGCCTTCTGGTTATGATGCACTCGTAACACTTTTCGCTTTCAACCCGATGTTTCGCACAAATTTACCACCAACCGCCGGACAGTGCGCGCGCCAGTGCACCACTGTTTCCGACGACGCGCTCGCCAGCGCAAAACTGTTCCCGCCTTCCTTCACTTTTCATTGGCCGACATTCTCCCGCTCCCCGCCTGTCAGCGGAACCTGTCCACGCACTTCTCTGCGGCTTGCCCCTCGTGCTTCACACGGTGACCCCTCTCGTCGCACTCTTCACTTCCCGTTCGCCAACTCTCTCACACTGAACCCCAGCACCCTTCTCTTCTCCTCCTAAACGCTTTCGACCACTCACAACCCTCCCAGCCTCCCTTCCCTTCCATCCACTTCCCTCACTTCTCGCTTCCCAGTCTGTTAGCTGCTCTTCCCATTCCTGAACAGTGTCCTTCACGAATCTCGACATTCCCTAGGCAAACTTTTCTGGTGTGACACGAAGTAGTCTTGGTAACTCAGCTTCTCCGAATCCATGGCTTCCTCTGCTATGACTACAGCCTTATTCGCGCTCTCGTTGATGGTAGTCAGATTTTTAAAACTGTTAAAGCTTATAGCTTGGCTATAGTTCCGGATTCACATCTCTCAACTCTCAGAGTTATGGCGGTCGGTCGTTAGCAGCAGATGTAACATCGGATCGGACTCATGAGCTCCCGTTTCATCGTTTCCGTTTTATCGACTCATTAGCTCCCGTTTCAACTTCACAATCGCTGTTCGTTTTCAGCTCGCGACATGGTATTTCTACCTACAGCGGTCGTTGAAATTCAGCGGTCGGCTTCGTCCTATAGTCGTTCCACGCAGTCTGCAAGAATCGCTCAATGCAGTCGGCGACGTGACGACAGATGCGACTGTGCGACGGCTGCTGATGCATGAGCTCGACGAAGCCGACCTTTGAGACGCTCCAGTCAACAACGACGAAGGTCGAAGCTGTCGACGGCCATTTTTCTTCGTCGAAGCTTTCGACGGCCTTTTTTTTTCGTCGACTCAAAAGGCGACGCTTGCGACCGAATCTGGTGGCCAGCTATGACGGTTGAGGCCAGTTATGACGGTTCGCGAAGCAGAATCTGGTGCCGGATCTGACGGTTCGCGAAGCTAAATCTGGTGCCGAATCTGACGGTTCGCGAATCTGAATCTGGTGCCGAATCTTATGACGGCGGATCTGATATCAGCTCAGCAGCGTCAGCGCTGGTGGACATAAATCATCACGGAGGACATTCACTGACATTCGCTTCACGGATCACTGACCGTCAACGGCGGAGGTACAAACGTCGACGACCCCCTAAATCTCTTTCTACAAACGCCGTATTCCTTTCTTACATGCTTGCTCTTAGCAAACGGTTTCTTCTCTACGCATTTGAGTGTGGTTTGCTTCTCATTCCGTCTCTCTTGTCGCGGTTTTGCCTGTTTTAAGCAGGAGAGTTGCGGATTCGGACGGGTTCGGGCGCGGATCATGCGGATTGAAGTGCGCGGATCATGCGGATTGAAGTGCGCGTATCTGACGATCATGCGGATTGGAGTGCACTGGACGGATGCAAGTTGAACGGATGGGCTGAGCAATTCCAGTCAACGGCACACTGGGTGAGTACTCACTCTTATTCATCCAGTTACCAATCTCTAGGTTAAAGGTTTCCTGATTGTATCTTTCTCCAGTCGCTATTTCAGATTCGTTTCCGTTGCTTCTATTTGGACATTTCAGTTCCGTAGCTAGCAATTCTCACGCGCTGCGATCTGCTCTGTCTGTCCTGGTCCTTGCAGGAGTTGGTTCCTGGTCTGCCGCTAACGGAGGAGATTGCATCGCTGAATGGCGGAGATTGCATCGCTGAATGGCGGAGCTTGCGGACACGTCGACGTTCGAGCGCTTTTCATCTAATGCTGGTGGTGAGATTTCATCCAACGCCCAATCTCTAAATTAAACGTTTCCTGGCTGTATCTTTCTCCAGTTGCTATTTCAATATATTTTCCGTTGCTATCAGGACATTTCAGTTCTCATTTCAGATTCGTTTCCGTTCCGCCTGACCATTTCAGAGTTGTTTCCATTGCGCTGCGATCTGCTCTGTCTGTCCTGGTTCGTGCAGGGAACGGTTCCTAGTCTGCCGCTAATCCTGGCTGATCCTGGCGCTGCTGGAGTGCTGCTGGCTGATCCTGGCGCTGCTGGAGTGCTGCTGGCTGATCCTGGCGCTGCTGGAGTGCTGCTGGCTGATCCTGGCGCTGCTGGAGTGCTGCTGGCTGATCCTGGCGCTGCTGGAGTGCTGCTGGCTGATCCTGGCGCTGCTGGAGTGCTGCTGGCTGATCCTGGCGCTGCTGGAGTGCTGCTGGCTGATCCTGGCGCTGCTGGAGTGCTGCTGGCTGATCCTGGCGCTGCTGGAGTGCTGCTGGCTGATCCTGGCGCTGCTGGAGTGCTGCTGGCTGATCCTGGCGCTGCTGGAGTGCTGCTGGCTGATCCTGGCGCTGCTGGAGTGCTGCTGGCTGATCCTGGCGCTGCTGGAGTGCTGCTGGCTGATCCTGGCGCTGCTGGAGTGCTGCTGGCTGATCCTGGCGCTGCTGGAGTGCTGCTGGCTGATCCTGGCGCTGCTGGAGTGCTGCTGGCTGATCCTGGCGCTGCTGGAGTGCTGCTGGCTGATCCTGGCGCTGCTGGAGTGCTGCTGGCTGATCCTGGCGCTGCTGGAGTGCTGCTGGCTGATCCTGGCGCTGCTGGAGTGCTGCTGGCTGATCCTGGCGCTGCTGGAGTGCTGCTGGCTGATCCTGGCGCTGCTGGAGTGCTGCTGGCTGATCCTGGCGCTGCTGGAGTGCTGCTGGCTGATCCTGGCGCTGCTGGAGTGCTGCTGGCTGATCCTGGCGCTGCTGGAGTGCTGCTGGCTGATCCTGGCGCTGCTGGAGTGCTGCTGGCTGATCCTGGCGCTGCTGGAGTGCTGCTGGCTGATCCTGGCGCTGCTGGAGTGCTGCTGGCTGATCCTGGCGCTGCTGGAGTGCTGCTGGCTGATCCTGGCGCTGCTGGAGTGCTGCTGGCTGATCCTGGCGCTGCTGGAGTGCTGCTGGCTGATCCTGGCGCTGCTGGAGTGCTGCTGGCTGATCCTGGCGCTGCTGGAGTGCTGCTGGCTGATCCTGGCGCTGCTGGAGTGCTGCTGGCTGATCCTGGCGCTGCTGGAGTGCTGCTGGCTGATCCTGGCGCTGCTGGAGTGCTGCTGGCTGATCCTGGCGCTGCTGGAGTGCTGCTGGCTGATCCTGGCGCTGCTGGAGTGCTGCTGGCTGATCCTGGCGCTGCTGGAGTGCTGCTGGCTGATCCTGGCGCTGCTGGAGTGCTGCTGGCTGATCCTGGCGCTGCTGGAGTGCTGCTGGCTGATCCTGGCGCTGCTGGAGTGCTGCTGGCTGATCCTGGCGCTGCTGGAGTGCTGCTGGCTGATCCTGGCGCTGCTGGAGTGCTGCTGGCTGATCCTGGCGCTGCTGGAGTGCTGCTGGCTGATCCTGGCGCTGCTGGAGTGCTGCTGGCTGATCCTGGCGCTGCTGGAGTGCTGCTGGCTGATCCTGGCGCTGCTGGAGTGCTGCTGGCTGATCCTGGCGCTGCTGGAGTGCTGCTGGCTGATCCTGGCGCTGCTGGAGTGCTGCTGGCTGATCCTGGCGCTGCTGGAGTGCTGCTGGCTGATCCTGGCGCTGCTGGAGTGCTGCTGGCTGATCCTGGCGCTGCTGGAGTGCTGCTGGCTGATCCTGGCGCTGCTGGAGTGCTGCTGGCTGATCCTGGCGCTGCTGGAGTGCTGCTGGCTGATCCTGGCGCTGCTGGAGTGCTGCTGGCTGATCCTGGCGCTGCTGGAGTGCTGCTGGCTGATCCTGGCGCTGCTGGAGTGCTGCTGGCTGATCCTGGCGCTGCTGGAGTGCTGCTGGCTGATCCTGGCGCTGCTGGAGTGCTGCTGGCTGATCCTGGCGCTGCTGGAGTGCTGCTGGCTGATCCTGGCGCTGCTGGAGTGCTGCTGGCTGATCCTGGCGCTGCTGGAGTGCTGCTGGCTGATCCTGGCGCTGCTGGAGTGCTGCTGGCTGATCCTGGCGCTGCTGGAGTGCTGCTGGCTGATCCTGGCGCTGCTGGAGTGCTGCTGGCTGATCCTGGCGCTGCTGGAGTGCTGCTGGCTGATCCTGGCGCTGCTGGAGTGCTGCTGGCTGATCCTGGCGCTGCTGGAGTGCTGCTGGCTGATCCTGGCGCTGCTGGAGTGCTGCTGGCTGATCCTGGCGCTGCTGGAGTGCTGCTGGCTGATCCTGGCGCTGCTGGAGTGCTGCTGGCTGATCCTGGCGCTGCTGGAGTGCTGCTGGCTGATCCTGGCGCTGCTGGAGTGCTGCTGGCTGATCCTGGCGCTGCTGGAGTGCTGCTGGCTGATCCTGGCGCTGCTGGAGTGCTGCTGGCTGATCCTGGCGCTGCTGGAGTGCTGCTGGCTGATCCTGGCGCTGCTGGAGTGCTGCTGGCTGATCCTGGCGCTGCTGGAGTGCTGCTGGCTGATCCTGGCGCTGCTGGAGTGCTGCTGGCTGATCCTGGCGCTGCTGGAGTGCTGCTGGCTGATCCTGGCGCTGCTGGAGTGCTGCTGGCTGATCCTGGCGCTGCTGGAGTGCTGCTGGCTGATCCTGGCGCTGCTGGAGTGCTGCTGGCTGATCCTGGCGCTGCTGGAGTGCTGCTGGCTGATCCTGGCGCTGCTGGAGTGCTGCTGGCTGATCCTGGCGCTGCTGGAGTGCTGCTGGCTGATCCTGGCGCTGCTGGAGTGCTGCTGGCTGATCCTGGCGCTGCTGGAGTGCTGCTGGCTGATCCTGGCGCTGCTGGAGTGCTGCTGGCTGATCCTGGCGCTGCTGGAGTGCTGCTGGCTGATCCTGGCGCTGCTGGAGTGCTGCTGGCTGATCCTGGCGCTGCTGGAGTGCTGCTGGCTGATCCTGGCGCTGCTGGAGTGCTGCTGGCTGATCCTGGCGCTGCTGGAGTGCTGCTGGCTGATCCTGGCGCTGCTGGAGTGCTGCTGGCTGATCCTGGCGCTGCTGGAGTGCTGCTGGCTGATCCTGGCGCTGCTGGAGTGCTGCTGGCTGATCCTTGCACTGCTGAGGTGGACGGGCGCGGTGGGATGACGCACGGCCGGCAGGCACTGGCGTGGGGCTGCCGCTACCCGCTCTGCTGACCACCCGCTCGTGGAGCAGCAAGGCAACACTGCCATCTCGTGGCCAGCAAAGCAACTGGGAAGTGCCTTTCCCCTCGCCTTCCCTTCTCGTCATTCGTTTCGTTTCGTCATTCGTTTTCCGCACCTCGTTCTTCACTCCATCATTCTTCGCGTTTATGCACGTCCCTCTGATACGTTCGGCTGCAGCCTAGTAGATGATCCTCCGCGGGTTTTGGGTAGCATAGATTTTGGGTTGGGTAGCATAGAGTTTGGGTTGGGTAGCATAGCTCCTCCCTCTGCTAGCTGCAGCCGGCGTATCATGGACGTGCATCCATCCCACCACCTCACCTCGTTTCCGCTTGTTGTTCTCCGCTCTCAATTCGCGCACTTCGTTTCCACATTCGTTTTCTTGTGTTTGTATTGCTTTCTTTTCCATTACGCGGTTCTGGTTACTGACTTTGTGCACCTGTCTGTGTGTTCCCTCCCCCTCTTTTTCAGCAATCATGGGTTCTTCACTCAAGGATGCGCCGAGCAGAGGAGAAGAGGAGCCTGCAGAGAACGGCAGCAGCGACTCGAGAGGACGGCAGCAGTGAGAGGGAGAAGCGAGCGGCAGGATGACGCACGGCCGGCAGCCACACGGCTGCCTCCTACCCGCCCTGCTGACCACCGGCTTTGCGTGAGGCGGGCTCTTCGGCCAATGAGCCGGCGTGGAGGCAAGGAGGCGGCACTTCAGCAGAGGTGTAGTGCGGTGTGGAATGGTATGGTGCGGCATGAGGAGGAGGCGGACATTTCGGGCAACGAGCCGGCGCGGAGGCAAGGAGGCGGCACTTCAGCAGAGGTGTAGTGCGGTGTGGCACTTGAGGTGAGGAGGCAAGGAGAGGCGGCACTTCACTCAACATGGCTTCTTCACTCAACATGGCTTTTTCACTCAAGATCGGAGGCGCCTGCAGAGGAGCAGGTGTAGTGCTGTGTGGTCTGGTATGGTGTGGTCAAGAGGCGGCACTTCAGTCGAGGAGGCGGCACTTGAGGCGAGGAGGCGGCACGTGCGGCAAGGGGTGAGGCGGAGGAACGTGAGGGAGTGGTTGATGGGTTGGACGAGAGGATGCATGACTGGGATGCTGTGGGAATGAGAAACGGAGTTTAGCGGTGGGAATGTGAGGCGGAGAGGGTGGGGCCCCCTCTCGTAAGTCCTCACGGCGGCCCCGCCCATCGCTGCTCCACCTCATTCTTCAGCATTGCCCTCCACGCTCCTCCTCTTCCAGCTCTGACGCCCAACCTGACCTGCACTCCGTCCTCATCCCCTTCCCACCGTCGAGGGAGGCGCATCGGGAGTCTACAGCGTCACCGACTGTAATCTCTGGTTTTGGTGTGGAGTTGTGTGGAATGGTATGGTGTGGTGTGGTGTGCTTTTGGCAAGACGGAGGGGACAGCAGCAGCATGCAGGGGAGTCAACGCACCCGCTCAAGGCGAACACTTCAGGCGAGGAGGCAGCTCTTAAGGTGAGGAGTCGAGTGGCGGCACTTCAGGTGAGCATTCGAGGCGGCGGCACTTCAGGTGAGCAGTCGAGGCGGAGGCACTTCAGGTGAGCATTCGAGGCGGCGGCGCCGACTTACGTCACCGACATGTGAGTCTCTGCTTTGGCAGGTCGGCGGGGGAGCAGCAGCTTGGAGGGTCAACACCGTCACCGACATGTGAGTCTCTGCTTTGGCAGATCGGCGGGGGAGCAGCAGCTTGGAGGGTCAACACCGTCACCGACATGTGAGTCTCTGCTTTGGCAGGTCGGCGGGGGAGCAGCAGCTTGGAGGGTCAACACCGTCACCGACATGTGAGTCTCTGCTTTGGCAGGTCGGCGGGGGAGCAGCAGCTTGGAGGGTCAACACCGTCACCGACATGTGAGTCTCTGCTTTGCTTTCTTTCTGTTTTCCGCATTGCATATGTTTGTCGTGCATGTTTCACTTGATTCTGTGCTTTCCTGTTTGTCTCTCTACCCCCCCCCCCCTTCCAATCCCTTCAAGTCGACTCGTGGGGCGAGGAGGGCGAGGGGGCAGCGCGCAGGCAGCAAGAGGCGTCTCCCTGCATAACCCCCCCCCTTCCATCCCCTTCAGCATGGCCGGCAGCGTGGAGGGCTACACGGCGGGCGGCACGGACGGAGGTGAGGTGCTGCTCCATCGCTGCAGCGAGGTATACCTCTTCCCTTGTCCGTTTCCGCCTTTGTCTTGCTTTCTTTCCGTTTTTCGCATTGCATGTATTCTCGTGCCTGTTTCACTTGATCGTGTGTTGTGTTTGTCTTGTGGTGTGTGTCGCTCTGCAGCTGGCAGGGTCCAAGACCCGAAGACCGCCCCCGACTGCGGCACTGGCGTTGTGCGGCCGCTTCTGCTCCTCTCTTGTAAGCCACTGTTCTCGCCTTGAATTTTGTTGCATTGTTTTTGTATGCATTGAATCGTTTCAGCCATGTGTGATATCTTGTCAGTAGGTCCGCTAGTGCATTTCTAGGCTGAGTTTTTGTGACTCTGTGTCTTCCCGTTTCACAGTGGAGATGCAGCAGAGGCGAGGAGGGGGGGAGGAGAGGAGGGGAAGAGGGGGAGAGGAACAGGAGCAGCCGCTTCTGCTCTTCTCTTGTAAGCCTCTGCCCTTTCTCGCCTTGATTTTGTTGCATTGTTTTCAGCCATGTGTGATCTCTTGGCAGTAGGTCTGGTAGTGCATTTCTAGGCTGAGTTTTTGTGACTCTGTGTCTTCCCGTTTCACAGAGGAGATGCAGCAGAGGCGAGGAGGGGAGGAGGAGAGGAGGAACAAGAGCAGCCACTTCTGCTCATCTCTTGTAAGCCTCTTTTTCTCGCCTTGATTTTGTTGCATTGTTTTTGTATGCAGTGAATCTTTTCAGCCATGTGTGATATCTTGGCAGTAGGTCTGCTAGTGCATTTCTAGGCTGAGTTCTTTGTGACTCTGTGTCTTCCCGTTTCACAGAGGAGATGCAGCAGAGGCGAGGAGGGGGAGAGGAGAGGAGGGGAAGAGGGGAGGAGGATCAGGAGCAGCCGCTTCTGCTCTTCTCTTGTAAGCCTCTTTTTCTCGCCTTGATTTTGTTGCATTGTTTTTTTATGCATTGAATCTTTTCAGCCATGTGTGATATCTTGGCAGTAGGTCCGCCAGTGCATTTTTAGGCTGAGTTTTTGTGACTCTGTGTCTTCCCGTTTCACAGAGGAGATGCAGCAGAGGCGAGGAGGGGGAGAGGAGAGGAGGGGAAGAGGGGAGGAGGATCAGGAGCAGCCGCTTCTGCTCTTCTCTTGTAAGCCACTTTTCTGGCCTTGATTTTTGTCGCATTGTTTTTGTATGCATTGAATTGTTTTAGCCATGTGTGATATCTTGGCAGTAGGTCCGCTAGTGCATTCCTAGGCTGAGTTTTTGTGACTCTGTGTCTTCCCGTTTCACAGAGGAGATGCAGCAGAGGCGAGGAGGGGGAGAGGAGAGGAGGGGAAGAGGGGAGGAGGAACAGGAGCAGCCGCTTCTGCTCGTCTTTTGTAAGCCTATTTTTTTCTCCTTGATATTTGTTGCATTGTTCTTGTATGCATTGAATCTTTTCAGCCATGTGTGATATCTTGGCAGTAGGTCCGCTAGTGCATTTCTAGGCTGAGTTTTTGTGACTCTGTGTCTTCCCGTTTCACAGAGGAGATGCAGCAGAGGCGAGGAGGGGGGGAGGAGAGGAGGGGAAGAGGGGTGGAGGAACAGGAGCAGCCGCTTCTGCTCTTCTCTTGTAAGCCACTTTTCTCGCGTTGGTTTTTTTGTTGCATTGTCTTTGTATGCATTGAATCGTTTCAGCCATGTGTGATCTCTTGGCAGTAGGTCCGCTAGTGCCTCTGTGACTCTGTGTCTTCCCGTTTCTAGGCTCAGAATTTGTGACTCTGTGTCTTCCCGTTTCACAGGTGGAGATGCAGCAGAGGCGAGAAGGGGTAGAGGAGCAGAGGGAGCAGACGGTAAGCCTCTTTTCTAGCCTTGCTTTATCGCCTTGCTTTTCTCCCCAACTGCGCCATGCCTTATTTTCTCGGGAGACTCACTGCTGTTTTATCCTTCCCATCTTTTTCAGGAAGACCGAAGACTGAAGACTGAAGATCGAAGACTGAAGACCGAAGACTGAAGACTGAAGACCGAAGACTGAAGACCTCCCCCCCTTCCCCCCCCCCCTCCCCTCCTCTCTCCCCTCCCCTCCCCTCCCCTCCCCTCCCCTCCCCTCCCCTCCCCTCCCCTCCCCTCCCCTCCCCTCCCCTCCCCTCCCCTCCCCTCCCCTCCCCTCCCCTCCCCTCCCCTCCCCTCCCCTCCCCTCCCCTCCCCTCCCCTCCCCCAGGAGCAGGTTTTTGCCCAACATGCGTGGGGATCACTGAAGTGAAGACCCCCAACTGTGGCATCAGGTGGTGTGCGGCAGGGGCTGCTAAGGGCGTTAGGGCTGGCCCCCTTAACGTCCGAAGCGCCCCTGTGTGTGGGTGCTCTGATGATGGATGGCGGGACGCTGCCTGAAGTCGGATGAACCTCACCCCGCCTCCACCTGGGCCAGGCTCTGCCTGGTTTGAGCGAGGAGCGCTTTTGGGACGCTGGAAGCCCTCTGCTCGTGTCTCTGCGGGGCTGCGGAGTGGAGGTGGACTGCACGGCACGCCAGCAACGGTCGTCGTGGTGGTGCGTGTTGTATGGTAAGCCGCCGCGCTTTCCTTGCTTGTTCTTGTTTGCTGTTTCATTGTTTGTTGGTTGTTTTTCTTTGCTGTTTCGTTGTTTGTTTCCTTGCTTGCTGCTCGTTTCTCTTTGCTGCTTCGTCGTTGTTTGCTTCCTTGCTTGTTGCTGTGCTTGCTTGCTTGCTTGCTGTGTGCTACTAACCCCCCGTGGTCCCCATGCAGGTCCCACACGAAGGGTCCCCACCTCAACGTGGTGTGTGGGTGAACACTAGGGGTTAACCCCCCTAGTGGCCAAGAGGGGCCCACAAGACCCAAGAGAAGACCATGGCGCGCTTTATTATTGCATTAATGATTGTAGATTTAGATAATTGCCTAAATATTGATACATCTGCTTAGGTTATGGGTCAAACAAATACGTCCCAGGGACCTTGAATTGAAACTACCGTATAATAGGGACCGTAGGAGCATGCACAAGAGTAGTGTAGGCCGCAGCAGAGCTGATGAAAGAGAAATATTCATGCATGTACGCTGAGATAATACAGACATTCAGATCAATTCATGCAAGTCAATTATTAACATGCATCAGAGACACAATTCCCTGTCATGGGACATTGCTACTTGTGTTGCTACTCCTGGCAATGCTGTGTGCTGCTGAGGCATCACCAACAAAAATTCATGGGAGTCCCTACCTACCAACACGGTGACAGTATGCTGAAGTGTGAAAGATTATGACTGCATCCACCATGGACTGCAAGCAATCATACGGTATAAACTTTATACCCCTTAACACAAAGGGAGCAATGAGCGTCCACAGATAAACCAAAGCAGATAACCACAGCAAAGCCATCTTGGCTCAGGTAATATTCCGGCCTAGTAGTGTCATAGCCATGTACGGGTTGGCTTACCGATGGGTAGGGAACGGAGATTGAAGGACAAGTGTCAGTTTGTGGGTTGGGAAAGATGCTTGGCTGGGGGCTGGATGTATCCACGCATTCGATGAAGCATGAATAAGAAGCGTGCAACAGAGGCAAACAATACAACTTGAGGCGTTCTCACCAGAATATCAAGCCACCAGAATGTTGTATGCGGTATGGCGAGGCCGAGTGTTGCATGCCTCGGCGGGCGGCTCACTCATGATTGCCGACCAGCAGAGGAAGACAAAAGACACCGCCATGACGCCTGTGGTGAGCGGCCCTGCCTCCACCTGCAGACACGCACATACAGATACAGATACAGATGCAGATGCAGATGCATCCAAGTGAAATAGGCGGTTACCAGGTGACTTACAGTCAAAATTCTTACAGATATTTTGCATCATGTGATTGATTTAAGTATCCAGCAACGGGCTACGTAGCACCGCGCAATAACAGTCTGGGTTGGACAGAGCTGGCGAGAACCGTGAAGTATACGATGAATAGGTGAGCCACGGACTTATTTGGAGTGCTCACCTTGGGATGCACGGCTCACCTTGGGATGCACGACTCACCTTGGGATGCACGGCTCACCTCAATGACAGTACCGGCGTGTGTGTGATGATCGGAATGTGGCTTTTCTTGGCAATGCTAGGATAGGGAACGTTGCTACCACCACAGCATTCCAATGAATAACTCAATATGATTAGCTCCGAATGTAGTGTACGGATCGCACTCACTGTAGAGATTGTAGAGTGCATTGGTGGCGTAGTCTCTTAAGAACCCACGCTACAACAACGGAGGCCAACGAACCCTTTATATAAGAACTTCATCGCGACGCGCGACGGGCCGAAGGAGCAACAGGAGCAGAGGCAGTAACCCAAAGCGGTACCGGCGAAAGCACCGCAGCAGCCGGTGCAGAATCCGATGCACATCACTAATGCTCCTGATGCTGATCGCTGATCGCTTGATATTATCGGCTCTTATTATGACGCTCTACCCAGCATGGACCGCTGCTGCTGCTTCCCCAATGCTCTGCACACGTGGCAAGGGTAAGCCTGCATAGAATGGCTTCCCCTAGAACGGCATAGAGTGGCAAGGGAAGGGGGGAGAGGGAATGCGCGTTGAGGTAAACGGCGGGACAAATGACTACTGCATCGACTAGATATGCGGCAGGGGGGAGTGGTGCGAGCTGAGTGAATGGAGGGACTGACACTGATCCATCGGTGATTGGGAGGCGTAAGGATGGCGCCGAGCCGACAGCTGGCACTGCGAGTAGCCACAGCACGTACGCAGAGCTGCATGGGGGTGATGGAGGGAAAGGGATGGTAGACATGATTGTGGTTCGATAATAGCACATTCGATAGTAGACAGCTGGTGTTAGAATCTAGCAGCAGGAATGATGTGAACTAACAGGATGCAGGAGTAGTAAACCCTAATTGGGTTGTACCCCATATGGGCTACCCCACTACAGCCTAGACAATATGCAGCACATATAGTTTGACAGCTGGCACTGCGAGTAGCCACTGCACGTACGCCGAGCTGCATGGGTGTGATGCGGCGAGGGATGGTGCGAGAGAGGGTTATAGTTCGTTATTGGCACATTCGATAGTGGAGATGTGAGCACAGTCGTGCAGGGAAAGGGTCGTGTGTCCGATATTAGCACATTCGATACTAGAAGTCGTGACTATTCGCGCATGCTATTCGCCGTCAGTTCATCAGCATTGATTGAGAAAGCTCCCTTCATTGATCATTGCAAGGAATGCTTCATTCGATAATGTAGCAAAGACACGTGAATATTTTGCGAATTCTCAATGCTATGAATGCGAATTCTCAATGCTAGCCACGTGAAAATTTTGCGAATGCTCCGTCGCCGTTAGGCACGCTATGCTGCGACGAAAAGATCCGTCGCCGTTAAGCAAGCTATGCCGTGCTACGCTACGGTACCTGTTAAGCGCTGCGATGCACACGCGCTCCCCCGGCGCGACGTCGCAGAGAGTCTCCAGCCCTCTCGCCAGGCATGCGACGTCAGCGACTAATTGCGACCTGGTTAGCG